GGGCCGGGACGGGCGACGGGCGGGGCGGGGCCGGAGGCAGCGGGGCGGGGGAAGGGATCCTGTAGTTGCTGAGTGCCATCACTTGTGGGTACTGAACGTAAGAACATAGGAATGGCCGTACCGGGTCAGAGCTAAAGTCCATCCAGCCCAGAGTCCTGTCTGCCGACAGTGGCCAATGCCAGGTGCCCCAGAGGGAGTGAACCTACCAGGCAATGATCAAGTGATCTCTCTCCTGCCATCCATCTCCCCCCTCTGACAAACAGAGGCTAGGGACACCCTTCCTTACCCGTCCTGGCTAATAGCCATTAATGGACTTAACCTCCATGAATTTATCCAGTTCTCTTTTAAACTGGTGAGAGGCCACAGCAGTGCAATCCCCTCGGGCTCCTGGCCAGGGCAGCCTGGCATGGAGACTTGCTGTCCCATCGGGGCAGCCAGCCAGGAATCTCTTTGGCATAGGCTGGCGGGCGCATCTCGCTGCAGAGCAACGCGCGCAGGAGCAAGAAGCAAATGGTGCTGAGAGACTGAGGGACGGGACCCCGGGACCCTCCTGCCAGGCACTAGTCTCCGCTCACGCTGGCGCTGGACCGGCCCTCCTCTCCCAAGGAAGCTGGCAGGGATGGTGGCAATCCATAACCCTCTGGCCACTCTGCTGCCTGCCTCCCTCCCTCTGGCTAGCACAGGAGAGATGGCGGGCTTGCCCGCCCTGGCAGCCCTGTGCCCATAGCTGCTTACTGGGTGCTGAAGGGGGGAACTCGGTACCCAGTGCCCGTCCCGCAGCCAGCATTCAGAGTGATGCCCACATGCATGGTGGTGTGTGCGTTGCCCTGGTGCCAAGCCAGGTCTCCCTGTGGCCCGAGTGGGGCTGGGGGACAGGAGTGGCTGTCGTAGGGCATGCTGGGCTCAGAGACGCTCAGGGTCTTTTGTAATTACCCAGGAAAACTTGCCAGGGCGGAATTACACCTTCTGGCAGTGGTTCGACGGGGTCATGGAAGTGCTGAAGAAGCATCTTAAGCCTCACTGGAACGACGGGTGAGACCCTCCTTCCCGTAACGGCCGGCACGGCACAGCCCCCCCCCCCACCCGCCTGCTAGCCCTCACCCCCCTCTCTGTGCTCCAGGGCCATCCTGGGCTTCGTCAACAAGCAGCAAGCGCACGACCTGCTGATCAACAAGCCGGACGGGACCTTCCTGCTGCGGTTCAGTGACTCTGAGATCGGGGGCATCACCATCGCCTGGAAGTTCGACTCGCGTGAGTCAGGGTGGGCCCGGGACAGCGTGGAACCAGACCCGTGCCTGGGGCTGGAACGGGGCCAGCTCAGCCCTGGCGTGGGAGTCAGTTGATGGCTCGTGAGCTGTGCGTGACACAGAGCAAACCCAGTCATGGTGCTGGGGCAGTTCCTGCTTGGAAGGCCGGCTCTGCTCCTGGAGGCTGTGCTGTGCTGATCTGTTACCGATGTCGGGAGGCCAGAGGAAGGTGCCTCAGGCCAGGAGAGCTCAGCCCCCTTCCTGTGCTGGTGCAAGCCCTGTCCTGCTGTCTCACCTCGGTCACCGGTAACTGTACCAGCACGAGAGCCTCGGCTGGCTGGCTGGGAGCTCTGGAGAGCCTTTGGAAAGGGCAGCTTTGGCTTTTCTCTTTTTAGCTCAGAACGCGTGACCTAGGTTGCTCCAGGCTGTCACAAGGATTCTTTTCCCATTTATGAAATCCAGGGCAGTCCATTGGGCGGCGGGTCTGTGCTGAGCAGTACGGTAAATCTTCCAAACGGTGTTTTGTCACGAGAGCTGCGTTTAGAGAGACCTACGTGAAAATACAACCAGAGCAGAGGCCTTCTCTGTGTCTGTCGCAACGAATTAGACTCCATGTTAAACCTGAAATAACATCACGGCTCTGCTTCGCCTCTGGCTCTCAGCTCAGCTTGGCCCATCGCAGAGGAGTTTGCGTTTCACTTTTGTTTCTAGTTAGTTTCACTTTCTGGCTCTCCCTGGAGCTGTGGTGTGATGGCGTGTTGCAGGGGTGCGGGTGAGCGCGAAGAAAAGCTGTTTTCATTAACTTGAGATTTTAAACCAATACGCTGGTGAAACGTGTCAGAGGAGTTTGTACGCCCTGAATGCAGCGGCAGCCCTGGCGCGCCGCACGAGCTGATGGGAAACTCACGGGACTTGAATTGAAAGTCTGGTGCGATTTGGGTTTTTTCTTAAAGCCCCAGGGCCCGGGCTCAGGCGATTCCATGAGAATCTCACCTTTCGTGTACACAAACAGTATGGGGGAAGCAGGGCGGGAATCCTCAAGCGCAAAGCCAGAAGGTGGAGAAAAAGAACCGGATGTTGATTCTGAGTGGAGGTCTCATGACTTTGAAGCCAGTCTCGCGATTCCTCGAGGCCTGAGTCCTAGGGGCCAGCTGTGCCACACAAGGGCCTGATTTGAGCAGTGTGGTTGCCCGCGGCTCCGGACTCGGTGTCTCACTGTCGTCTCTGCTGTTGCATTTCTAGCTGAGAGGATGTTTTGGAACCTCATGCCCTTCACGACCAGAGACTTCTCCATCCGCTCGCTGGCCGATCGCCTGGGTGACCTCAATTACCTCATCTACGTGTTCCCCGACCGGCCCAAGGACGAGGTCTTCTCCAAGTACTACACGCCGGTTCTCTGTGAGTCGCTCTCGGCGCTGGGGTCTGCACTGGTTTGTGCTCCCCTCACCCTGCCGTGCACACACTCAGACTCTGGGGCCGTGGGAGCTGGCACCAGCTAGTACCCCTGAGGGCCTGGCCCGTTAGCAGCTCTCGGTTCCTCTCGGTGGTGTCTGGCCTCGTGGCACAGAGACCCGAACCCGACGGCGCTGACGGGCTCTCTCGCTCGTCGGAGCCCTCGTGCCGACCGGCTGCTAGCCCAGGTGACGCTGTCGGGTCAGTGCCTGGAACGTCCCCTGGCCTTTCCGTGCCTTAGCACTGTCTCCTCTCTCTCGCCCTGTCTGCAGCTAAAGCCGTGGATGGATACGTGAAGCCACAGATCAAGCAAGTGGTGCCAGAGTAAGTCCGTCTGGGCGTGCATCTGTCTGTCCGTCTGGGCATGCATGTGTCTGTCTGTGTGCTGCCCTCGGCCCGTGTCTCCCTCTGCCCCTCCGTTATCACCCCTTGCTGAGGAAATGTCGGATTCTGACCAGTGTCCCAGCCCCGAGTCTGTGCCGTAGCCTTGTGCCTTACCAGGGGATGAGGTACCGGGTGGGAGAGAGCTGCTTGCCCTGTTGCTCACACGGGGGGCAAAGCAGATGGTCAGGGGAGGAGCGCTCCAGGCTGGCGGCCCCGCAGGCTGCAGGAGGAAGTGACCGGTGTCGGGATCCTGTGACAGGGCTGGAGCCTGGCTCTGGCGCCGGGCGTGTGCTGCACTGGGAGGGTTTAAAACACCCCTGAGAAGCGAACTGGCCAAGGGGGTGTTTGCTTTGGGAGGGGCTGGCGTGGGCCGAGCAGGATCTGCACAGACGAGGTTGGTTCTGATTGTGGCCGTCCCCACTGGCATGGCTTCCCCTGGACTGTGTGGGAGGGTGTAAAGCACCGTCAGTGCAGCTGTGGGCACGGCCTCCTTCCCCCCGGCCCCGGGGGAGCTGAGCGCGGCATCGCTCCAGGAACTGGACCCATGTGAAATCCCTCGGCCCCCTCACTTACAATCAGTAGCCAGAGGACACGGCGCCGAGCTGGTGGACGGGGCTGGCAGGACAGAAGCTGCCATTGCAGCCAGGGAGAGGAACCGGCAGGCTGGGGCAGAGCTGCAGTCTGCCCTGCAGTGCAATGCCCCCACGCTCCCATCACCCTCCCCATGGCCCGGCTGACGCGCCGGCCCCTCGTCTGTTCCAGGTTTGCCAGCGCCTCTGGGGATCCCGCCGCCGGAACGGTCACCTACATGGATCAGGCGCCGTCGCCGGCCGTGTGCTCCCAACCGCATTACAACGTCTACCCACAGAAGTAGGTGCTGCTCCTTCCCCGGCCCTGAGCCGCGTTCCGGGGGCGAGGGGCTCCCCGTGCTGGGGGGGGGGGCGTTTAGCTGGAGCACGCTGCTCCCGGCCCCCCCGGCGTGGCTATTCTGGGATGCCTCCCCCAGGCTCGCCCTGTCTCTCTCTCTCAGCCCCGACTCTGTGCTGGATCCCGAGGGCGAGTTCGACCTGGACGACACGATGGACGTCGCGCGACACGTGGAGGAGCTTCTGCGGCGGCCCATGGACACTCAGTGGATCCCCCACAGCCAGTCGTGACCCTGTGCCGTGGTACGGCCCGGCCCGGCAGCCGTGTCCCTGGGAGCCGATCCGGGGAGCGTGCCCCGTGGAGAGCAGCCCAGTGTTCGTGTTTCTGTGCGTGGGCCCATGTGTGGGGGGTGCTCATCCGGGGGCTTTGCTCTGCGCCAGCTGCAGTGCCCATGGCTGCGCTTGGCTCTTTGGTGTTTCTCCCCGTGTACTAAAGGCAGTGGGCTTGTCGTATGGTTTCCCTGTCTGTTACTTTGAGGCCTGCCTTCAGCTTCCCGCTTCTGCAGCGCTGCTCCTCCCCGTGCAGCAGATCCCTGGAGCCCCGTGCGTTCCCAGCGCCCACTGGACTCGGATCCCTACCCTTGGGCCCAGGGGCCTCTCAGCGTGGGGGGCGGGCCTGGGAGTTTGTTTGCAGTAATTGTCACATCTAGGACTTTCGTGTTCAAATTCTTTCCTTTTGTTACCAGCTCCCCCGTCCCGGGGGGCATGTGCGTGTGCGTTGGGTCCTGTTTGTGTGCGCAGAGACCTGGGGGCAAAGACTTTCTTCTCAGCCCAGGCAGCAGCATCTGCGCCTTGGGAGTGGCTTGCTGGGAAGGCGTCCCACCGGGGCCCTTTTCTCCTCCCGGTTCCTGCCTGGCCCGTGTCCGCTCAGCCGGTGGGACGCTGCCCTTCCCCCCGCCTAGAGCTGGGGGGTGTTTCACAAACCCTGAGAGGAAGGAGGGGGTTGCAGATGGACACGGCTGCTCTGTGGGCAGGAGGAACGGGGCTCCCGGCTGGGGTCAGGGCAAGGCGCGGCTCAGGCTGGGGGTGAGAGGCTGCTGGTCCCCCCCTCGGGGTCCCGCCCTCCCTCCCCATCGACATTATTTTTCTACGGCTGAGTAAATAAAGCACAGAATATTTTTTTAACACAAAGCTCTGGATTCCGCGTGTGTCTGTGGGAGCACCAGCTCTGGGATCAGCAGCCCGCTGGCGTCCTGGGGAAGGGTCCGATAGAGCCCCTGGGGCTGGGGCTGTCGGTGGGCCGGGCAGCAGGTGTTTGAGCCCAGGGCTGAGCCGCACCCTGTGCGGACGTCCTGCGGAGGAGCTGCTCTGGGGAAAACGCTGCATTTGCCAGCTGGGTTCAGTGGTCAGACTCCGTGGGGGCAGCCAGGCGGGAGGACAGGGCTGCCCCCGCTTTCTAAAGGACTTGCAGCAGCCCCCAGACGATCGACTGGCTGGGCTGGCCCCGCATGGCTGGAGGCAGCAGGCGCCGAACCTGGCTACGGGCTTGTAGGGGCTGCAGCCAGGCCCTCGCCTCTCTGCCGCTTCCCTGTGTGCGGAGTGCCCTTCGCTGCATGAGGGGAGCCATGCCGCTGGGTCAGCCCTGATCCACGTCTGTGCCCAGAGCCCCCTGAGCCCGGACCCAGAGACACCGTGCTTGTTACTCTGCTCCACGGTGCGTTCTGGGCCGTGGCAGCGTGAGCCACTGGCGAAGCAGCGCTAGGGCCGGGTGGGTCCCAGCACGGACACCATTTGCACCAGTGCTGTCTGTCCTGGTTTGAACCTGGGACAAGCTGCCCCGGTGCAAAGCGTGTCTGCCCCCAGGCATTGCACTAGTGGCTGAAATCCCAGAGCCCTGGACGCAGGCAGGGCACGTGGGGAGGAGGCCGGGGAGCGTTGTCCAAATGGTCTGTCCCTAACCTGTTTCAGTGCTGCAGTCAGCCGGGGCAGCTGGCATGTGAGTGTGTGCTTGGCTCAGCTGCAAGTCCTGCACGTGGCCTTTCATGTGAGTAACTCCACCACCACCTGCTTTGCCAGGCTGCACGTCCGCAGGGCGAGGCTGGGGGCTAGCCCCTGGCCCTGCAGATAGTGCTGAGATCGTCCTCAGAAAAAACAAATTCCATTCTTTTTTTAAAAAGAAAAATTCTCTTGCCAAAGCCCCGACCAGGTGGGGATGAGTTCTCGCCTTTTGGAATTACAAGCGAATTTCAAAGAGAAGCAGGAAAAGCTTTGGTGCGAGGTTAGATCACAACTTTTGTAGAAAGGAAAAATATAGATATAATTTTAAAAACAGCCATGGTGAAACTTTTTGATAATTTTATTTAAAAAACAAAACAAAACAAAAAAAACCCACCAGAAAACCTTGTATGTGGAAACTGAATGATTTCAACTGCCTATTTTTAGTGTTGCAGTCTGCTCCTGACTTGCATAGGCACTAATAAAGTATTGTCGACTCTTCCAGGGGCTGCAAAATTGTATTTTTTTGTGTTTACAATACAGGCCCCATCTGCCCTGACCGCTCCCCCTGGGGCCCCATCTGCCCTGCCCCCCTGCCCCGCAGAGTCTGGCCCTGTATACCCCATGCCATCTGACGGGGACGGGAACTCCTTCGGTGCTATTTCTTAGCCTCCAAACACAGTGCCCGATAGCCTGGGGAACTCCCTGCCACAAGAGCAGGCTGCAGGAAGAGAACTGGATCTTTACGGCACGGCTCTGATGGGGCGGCAGGGATGCCAGCCACCCTCCCGCTGGCAGGGGCAGGAAGAAACGCCTTTGGGGGGCAGATTTTCTTGCACCTTCCACTGGACTAGCTGGGCTTGGCCTCAAGTTGGAGCCAGGAGCTGAGGGCTGGGAGCCCTGGGCAGTGCCTGCGTTGCTGTGCTGGGCACGGCAGCTGCTGCCCGGGCAAGGGGCCTTGGAGACGTTGGGGGTGTCATGGAGGCAGGGGAGGAGCAGAGACAAGGGGCTCATCGACCTGCTGGCTGGCAGCTGGGGTTGGGCTTCTGTCCAGAGCCGTAGCCTACTGCCCGTCACCCTGGTGTCTGGGCCCCCGCCCCTTAAAATGGATAGCAGCAGGCAAGTCCCTGGTGGGATCCTGGGGGCCCCGGCTCTGCTCCCGGGAGGAGGGGAAAGCTCTGCTGTGGGTCTCTGGTTCGCTGTTTGGGACATCGGGGCCGGGGGGGCGGCGAGTCGCTCGCTGGGGCAGAAAGGCCGGTTCCAGGGGGAAGGTTTGGTGATTCCTGCCTCTGGCCTTGCCCAGCTCCCCGGGGGTGGTGCCCAGAGCCCTTGGCCCCAGAATCTGCGATTAGCGCTGCCGGTGCCCCCCCACTCCCGGCCCTGGCCCCCCCAGCTCTGCCAGTGCCCCCCCACTCCCGGCCCTGCCCCCCCCAGCTCTGCTGGTGCCCCCCACTCCCAGCCCTGCTCCCCCAGCTCTGCCAGTGCCCTCCACAGCTCTGCCGGTGCCCCCCACTCCCGGCTCTGCCCCCCCCAGCTCTGCCGGTGCCCCC